TGCAGCGGGGCTGGATGCGGCCGAAAACGCCGCTGCTCCTGCACGGGCCGTTTGCCATGGGTTCTCCTGCGCCGAGCTCTGGGTTGGGCGATGGGCCCTGCACAGCGAGGGGGCTCTTGTTTCCTCACTGCTTTAAAGGAACTAAGTCAGAATTGTACTGTTCTAGGAAAAACAAACCCAAAAAGTCCCAGGAAAGGTGAGCGCGGCCTCCTTGGGCTCGGCGCAGGGTCGTGGTGGTGCTGAGAGCCCGCGGTGCAGCATCGCTCCAACATCACCTCAGGGGGCTGTCGCGCCCCTCGTTTGCGGGTTGGGAAACGCCGCTGCGGTGTTTTGTGAAGGTGTAGTGTTAGCCCGAGTGTCACGGATTGCGAGGTAGTCATTGTAGGGGTTTTTTTCCTCTTCTTTTTGTCTGGGGTTTGCTGTTTTTGTGTAAGATTTGCCTTTACACTCCCCAAGTGCCCGGGCTGGGTTTCTCTGCCTTCGCTGAGCAGCGGCTGCGCGCGGTTTGCTCGGGGAATGCTCTGGCATTGGCAGCTGCTGGGCTGCGTCTGCTGTTCCCATCTTCCTTTAACCAATGGGAAAAAGATGAATTCAACCTTAATCCGGGGCTGGAAAGCCCACGTGCTTGACCCAGGCCCTTGGAGCGGGCGGTGCCGCTGCCCATCTCCACACCCGCATCCTCACAGCTTTAAGCATTTCTGGTTTGCCTTGAACGCCGTTTCCTGCCGCGCTGCTCGGCCGCGGCTTTTCCTCCAGTCTGAAGCTCTGACAGTGCCTTGGAACGGCCGCGGCGGCCCCGTGGTTCGAGTCCTCCCGGCGCTGGGGAGTCCCTTTGGCGGAGGGGCCGGGCAGGGGTCAGCGATTCGGGGCGGCTCCTTCGTCCCCACAGTGCTGCTGAGCGCGGGGTTTCTGCTGAGCTGTGCACAGCCCCACTGTGCTGCCTGCCACCCGCTGAACAGGTAGGATCTGTATTTATTTTTTGTAAAACTCATCGTGTCCGAATCTCCCGAGTGCAGTTTCAATACCATCCTTTGAAGCAAAGGCATTTTACATTGACAGATAATGTATTTTTATTCTCATAGTTTGTTTTTGGATTTACTTGCAGCAGTCAAGTTCAATAAAAGGCGTTAATAAACCTCGCTGCGGTCTCTGAGGGGATGGGCACCGCAGGATGTTTTACCTGGGGTCCATTGAACCCAGGGACTCGGCCTTTGCGGTGAGTGAAGAGGGAAAGGGCTGCGATTCTGGGGGGTGTGGGTGCACTCAGTGGCCTTCCCCATCCTGGGAATGCTCAGGGAAGGGTTCTCAGTGTGACTCCAGGTGAAATCAGCTCAGTGGTGAGAAGACGCTGGTCAAGTCCTGCTTTAATGTGCTAAACAAAGGGCCGTTAGCAGGAGATGGAGCACAGCGAAATAAGGCACAGATTGATGGGAGGACGCTCCTGTGGCTGGGGGGGCAGAGCCGCGCTCCTGGGGAGGTGAGGTTTGATCACACGTTCACACTCAAAGGTTCACGCTCAAAGGCAGAATCACGGCACAAGGCAGCGCCAGAGGAAAGGGGAGGTGAGCGCCGACCGCACAAGGGCCGTTAGCAGGAGATGGAGCACAGCGAAATAAGGCACAGATTGATGGGAGGACGCTCCTGTGGCTGGGGGGGCAGAGCCGCGCTCCTGGGGAGGTGAGGTTTGATCACACGTTCACACTCAAAGGTTCACGCTCAAAGGCAGAATCACGGCACAAGGCAGCGCCAGAGGAAAGGGGAGGTGAGCGCCGACCGCACATGAGAGCTCGTTAGAAAGCTACCACACAGCTTCACACACACAGCACAGCTTCACACACACAGCACAGCTGTCGGTCACGTCCCACCTCGTACGGCACATGGACATTTATTTAAGTTGTTTCTTCGTTCGACCTGATTACAATTTAATTACAACGTCGTTTCCCTGCGGCAGGGAGGGAGGGAAGGGGTGGGCGCGCAGCTCAGGCTGAGCAGCCCGTCCTGGCACCGTGCCGTGCGCTGGCGGGCGGCCGCGCTACGTCTTGCAGTCCTCGGGCATCGTCGTCATTATAATTAGCGACTGCTCGATCACGTCCGCCGTAGAGAAGTTCTCGTTGGAGCAGAGTCTCTGCACGGGGATGTCCTCGGGCAGGG